AAACTATTTATATATTTATCACATTTTTTGGCCAATAATTTATATCTCAATAACTCTGTTGTCAAACAATTGTTTTCTCGCTTCAAGTCATTGATCACTAAATATAATTGTCTTCGACTTAAGCCATGAATATCACCACTAATTGATCCCATGTTTTGACAATTAAATAACACTTCAATTAAACCAAAATAAACAAAAATGTAAACAGAGTTCACACGTGTATAGCGTTAGACATACATTACGTCCAGAAAACTTAGAATATATGCTAAATTCAATACTATTAAAAATTAATTACATTAAAATATATTGTAATAAATAATAATTAAATTATTAAAATATTAATTTATAAACTATGTAATAAGTTTGGAAATATCTATGCATTTTGTTGCATTAGAAATGCACTAAAATTGTTTAATTAAATTTATGCATAAATGAATTGCTATTAAATTATCTAGCTACATTAATTTAAATGATACATGTTTGAATTATCAGATATTATCAAAAATTATAAATATTTATATTAAGATTAATTTTGAGTAAACAATTTAAACCTAGACTAAGCAATAATATAACTATAAAACTATTTCTATAAACAAGTGGTATTTGTAATAAAATGATAATTAATAAATTACTTAATATAATTAATGTCCAAGGTATTAGTTAATGGAATACTAGCGTTTAAACATGGTAACACTTCTAACTTTGTATTAATTTTAATTTTTTGATTTATTGTGTTTATGTGTATTTCAACTTTTTCTTCAAAATATATTTTATCATAAAAATAATTTTTAAAAATATTTTAAAATTATGTCTAATTTATGACAAAATTCATTGAATTAATGGATAGCATTTGTTACAAAATCAATACTAGCCTCTCTCTCTCTCTCTCTTTCTCTCTCTCTCTCTGACCACAGGGACGGCACCGTTGACTCTCTCTCTCTCTCTCATTCTCTCTCTCTCTCTCTCTCACATAAAATAGAGAAAACATTTTTTAAAACAATACCTAAAACAACAGCAAAAATATATCCAAAAAGCATAGAAAATATATTCCGAGAAATATTTTTAAAAATCAATATATAATTAGAGAATATTCTTAATGATTAATATGAATATTCTGTACAATTATAAGTCACGCAAACCATTAAGAAATAGGCATTAAAATCAAGTGAACCGTACAATACATACAGCAATAATAATTATAATATTGTAATAATAATTTAGTGTATATTTTCAAGACTACTGCGATCTTGACATTCAAAACATTAGCAAAACTATACGACTAGTTATCGATACACAGAATACTTTATATAGTGTACTGTATTTGTATATACAAAATACATATACTCAAACATCTATGTAGTAATATCTGTAATAGTAGTTATAGATAATAAATAGGAAAGATATTTTGTAAAATAGGGAGTGAAATAACACATGATAATTATTTTTTCCGAGAATTTTTCACCATAATTATCTGTCGCCTGTGTTTATAAACACATATACCGTTTACTCTCTCACTCGCTAACTACTAGTCCTATTGTCTATCGTCTCCCTATCCCTTCGGGCGGTGTGTATGAAAAGGGGGCTAACCCTACAGCAAACACACATACCATGTACTCTGTGTGATGCCTTACCCGGTGCTGGCCGTCCGGTTGTGGTGTTATTTAGTAGATTTGTTCAAAACGTATCGCCGGTTGAAAGCAATGCAGCGTTTGATTAGTAAAGTGAAAGAGTTTTCCGGCAAACGCCGGCCAGAGTTTGTGTTGGTCACCGGTGTTGGACTCATAGTTACCGGTGCGCTATTGGCCACAATGTTTCCCACACTGTTGGGTGTAGGTAAGTATGGTTTGTTGTTTTATCTAGTTTATATTTTTGGTTTAATGTTATATTTTTATTATTTTTTATTTGAAATATAATGCGTTTTTAGGACTGGATATGAATTTTAAGCTCACAGAAGGAAAGTTTATATTCAAAAACTGGTAATAAATTTAATTATTAAATCCCTATTGAATTAATATAGTATTTATATTTGTGTAAATATATTGTAATAATATACACGTTATATAATTTGTTTGAAATTTTTGTGTATCCATTGGTTTCGTTAACATTAATATTAGAATTGTTTTTTTTTCTTTTTGCTTTTATTTTATTTATTGCTATTATTTTACTGACATTCAAAGAGTTAACAATATTGTTTAGCGTGACATTTCTATCGTGATGGTTTTGTTTCTATAACATTCTCATAGATTTTAAATAATGCTGATGTTAAAATTAATCATATTTATTGTATTTAATTAAATAATTTAGGCAAGAATTGCCAATCCCTTTGATAACCAAAGTATATCTGTTTGACATACAAAACCCTGAGGCATTTAGCAACGGTGCCGTCCCTGTGGTCAGAGAGATGGGTCCCTATGTTTATAAGTAAGTAATATTACCTTGATTAATATTTTATTAAACATATATTATTATTTTCTTAAGCTAATTTCTAGCATTTATTGTAATGCTATAATTAATATGCAATTATAAAGAGAGTAATTAAGTTAAATGTTTATATGATATGCTTTTGTATAGATTTTATTATTGATTTTTGTTTAATATGTCTTCACAGGGAATATAAAACCAGAGAAATTGTTGAATGGTAAGTTTTTATAAAATAATTGTTACAAATATTAAAAGTAATTTACATTAATAAAATAATTTAAATAATAGGTCCGCCAATTCCGAGAGGGTGAAATACTACGAGACAATGAAGTTTGTATTCGACCCTGAGCTTAGCAACGGCAACCTTGATGATAAAATCACTCTGGTCAATGTACCTCTACTGGTAAATCTTATTGTTTGTTTACTACTTATCATGATTGGCTACCAAATTGAACTTTCTTAAAATACATTTATTATATACACACTTTAATTAGCTAGTGTAGTAGTGTATTAATAAATGCAATGCAAATATAACTTATTTATACTAGATCACACAATGTTCATGATTTATTAATGTATACAAAAATATATTAAAATCTATGCATTAAAAATCGTTAATATTATAAAATGAGAAAAAACTAGTTTTAATTTATTTTATTTTTATGAAAAGTATATAAAAATATATTCAATTGATTTATAGCTCGATGTTTTACTTACTGAATGGCAATACTCTATAACAGCAATTAATTATCAATTTATCTCTACTTAAAATTATACCTGTCATTGAAAATTGATCGAGAATATAGGGATGATGATCATATTACTCGGTAATTTGTACAAGGGTGTTTAGGTATATACAAATTGTAAATAAGTACAATTGCTATTCAATGTGAGTCATTGAGATTTTAGTCACCATAATGATTGAATAACATTATTATCAATTTGTATACAAGAATCCATGCAAGTGAACTAGCAATTAGCATGCAATAAATTGATTATGATCAAGGTTATATCACAAAATTACTTGACTTGTTTGTAGAAACATATTGTATGACTACTAGTAAAACAATCTAATACAACATAACAATAATCGTTAATTAAAACTACATTAATAGCAATTAAGGTTATGCTAATAAAAATCACATTAAGAAATAGTATAAAATCTACTAAAAAAGGACATCAATATGAAATTACAAACTAATTAACATAATTAACCTTGGTCTAAAATTCTAAACTTATATTTAGCTGATATTCTCCATAATAAACTCGGCTGTGGAGAAGTTCCCATTGACAGCCGTGGTGTCGCCCATCGTGAACAACGTGGTCAACACATTGCTGGTCACACATAGGGAACGGTTTATAGAGACCCGAACTGTGGGCGAAGTGCTGAACGGGCGCCGCATATCGCTGTTGGACACCATAGACATAGTGGCCAAACCCTTGCGGATGATAGGCCTGCCTATACCCGAGTACGGCATCTCGGCCTATAAGCTGCGCGACAATACCTACGGGTTTCTGGCCATTAGGAATAATAGTAGGTTCGGTCCCTTTGAGACGTTGACCGGTGAGGGTGACCGACAAGAGTTTGATAGGATCGCCACTTATCACGATAAAAGGTTTGTCATTATACCCAATTATAATGCTATTTTAACTAGCATAGCATGCTGTTACTAATTACTGTATAACATTGATCAGTAAATTTAGATAAATTAATACAGAGCTTGGTAAGATTAAAATACAGTTATAAATTATAATTGAAACAATTAATTATTATTATTTTTTAGAAAACATATTCTGTTAAAGTAAAATAATACGCTAAAATAATTTCGTATGTAAACAAGCTAATAAATATTCTGTTTGTCGTTAGATTTTTATTTTATTTTTACTTTTACAAAAAATTGATTTAAAAAATAATACAAGTTTTTTATTTATTACATTTAATAAACAGTTAATTATCGCTATTTATTGATATAAAAAGTCAATAAATTTAATTGCTTTCATCATAAAAAGTAAATTTTAAAATAAAAATAAACTAATAATGATATTATTTGTCACAACCACTACTTATTGTGTTGTCAGTCGTCTCGGTATATACCGACACGAGTCGTGCGATGCCCTCAACGGTACGGACGGCGCCTTTTTTGGTACATTTGTGGACAACAAACGGCCGCTCTATCTGTTTAACCTTCACGCGTGCCGATCGTTTCGGTTGGAATACTCGGGGTAAACATTAAATACATTCAACTAGGCTATATTAAAAACTTAAATTACATTTAAATTAAAATTAATACCATGCTAACTCTCCATTGCCAGTGACACGACCCAAAACGGTGTGTCCGCCTATCACTACGAGTTCCCGGACAACCTGTTTGACGGGCCGGCGTCCAGTCCGGACAACTGGTGCTTTTGCCCCAAAGGTGTGGCCAGTCATCGCTGTCACGGAGTGCTAGACCTGTCCCAGTGTTTGGCCGGCATCCCCTTTGCCATGACATACCCGCACTTTCTCAATTCACCACGATTTCTCACCAGTGTTCAAGGGCTGGCACCTGATCGGCAAAAGCATCTGGGGTATTTTGATATTGAACCGGTATTAATTATTAATATTGTAGAAATGTAGAGTTTAATCTAGCTTGTTAATAGTTATTTAAATAATAATATGGTATTTATTTGTGGCTATCTATACAGACATTGGGCATAACTCTTAAAGGCAGCGGTCGTTTTCAAATCAACCTTAAGCTCCGGCCGTTTAATTTTGTGCCCGGTCTCAACAGCTTTAAACCCACCTTGTTGCCTTATCTATGGATTGACGAGGTGATTAGTGTATTGCCTTTTAACTATGGTGTGTGTTTGAGAGTGAGTGAGCAAAGAGGCAGTTATAATAAATGTAACATGACAAAAGGACTTTTTGGGCTATCATACACTTGATCATGATCGTATTTAATTGGTTAACCATTTTTACAGCGCTGTTTTTGTACCATGGTACTTTATTTTTATAGTCCTTTTAATACACACTCTTTGAGCTCATATTTGATACACACTCTCATTGATAGCCCTTTTGTATTGCAATACATTGACAGCTGTTTTACACACTCTTATAATGTAAACTTAAATCTAGTCTTAAATCTATACAAATGTTTTTTAGTAAAAATTATTTCTGCTCACAATTTCATAGCAATTGTTTCGTTACAGTTTGCTATTAAATATTTTTTATTAGAGAGAGAGAGAGAGAGAGAGATCGAGAGTTATTTGTCAAAAACTACGGCTGGTTTTGCATTCAATGACTACTTTTATTTGTTTGCCGGAAGTCTTGTCTGTCGTATGAATAACAAGA